CACAACACATGAAGAGTCGACGCGCACATCACATCGCCGGCAGTCGCACATCGCCGGCTAACTGTCCATTGTTCACACACTTGTAAGTCCACAGATCCTAGTCACTGCGCCATGAAGGTTCCAAGTGTTCCCTGAAGAATGCAGTGATGGGTAGGGAAACACCGGGTAACACTGAAGTCCATTTATTCGGATAGGAGAAATACAAGTGGTGACTAGCATGTGCCATGCACTGCTCACACAGTCAGACTGAGACTGCCTTGCCATATGGCAGCCTCGGGGCAATGTTGCCACATAACACGTGCAGTGTTGCCACGTAAATATATACATAGATGCTACTCGGCACAGTAGCTTATATACAAGGTTGCTACTCGGCACAGTAGCATAGATACATAACCTACACTGGCTACTCACCCTCAAGTTCGCATCATTATGAGAGGAGGCACCAGCTCCTTCAGAAGATCCACTGACACTATCACTGCCATTGTTCACTAGTACACTTACGTGGCAGGATTTAACCTGACCTGCATTGACTAACGAAGGACAGTCACTGTGCCTGTTGACTTCAGGTGGTGAAGGCAATCTGGCCGCATTGGCATCACTTAGTGGGACTGCTATTGTGGGTGGAGGCGGCCTCCCAGGACAACCGGGGTGCCAGGCCATCACACCCTCCTTCCTGCACCTGGGACACTGCCTCCTGGGTAGGGAGGTGTGGCTGTTGATTTCAGGCGATGGAGGCGACCCGGCAGTGTTAGCGTTGGTGTCACTGAGTGTGATCGCTATTGTGGGTGTTGGCGGCCTCCCAGGGTATCCGGGGTGCCAGGCCGTCACACCCTCCTCCCTCCACCTGGGACACTGCCTCCCAGGTGGGGGGGCCTGCTCTCTCCCCTACCGAGAGGCAGCTTCCTTGGTGGGGCAGCTCCATGTGCTATGCATTCCTGTGCAGATGCCACAGGTGGCTGTCTTGTGACAGTATTCTGCCACATGATTGACCCCGAAGCAGTTGTAGCACACCACAGGGGAAGTAGTCCACCGACTGATGTTACTAGGGGTACCATACTTGCCGAAGAAGCAGTATTCCTCAGGAGGTGGTTCCTACCTTTTCCAAATAATGTTGATGCTACTAAGTTGTGCACCATCCTTATAAAGGCTTCTTGCTCTGTGGACGCCCGGAAGTAACAGAGCGCCACTGGGGGGAATACCCTTGGGGAAGTGGATGACAAGGCATTCCTTCATTTTTTGGGGTCGGACAGGATCATCTCGCTCAATGAGAAGTAGGGAGCTGACCTTTCTATCAATGAAGCGTTGGATAGCATCCGTCTCCTCTCGGTCTACATAGACGAAACGAGGGGCGCTACATGGCATGACAACATCCAGCATAGTCTTGCAATATTCCTCATCCAGGGCTCTCAACCACTTAAACTTCATCAAATTGGTTGTGTTCTTGGAGAAGGCAAGGCCCATGTAGTTAGCCCGGGGAGCGATGGGAGGGATTCACCTATTAGCTCTACTCTGCTTCCTTCCCTGGGTCCTCATTTTGCGTTTCTGCTGACGAGTCTTAAACTTCTGAAAGCCAGCTTCAGTGTCGCCATGACTGTCCTCCTCATCTCCTTCGATTACGTCAGGAACATCAGCAGAGCGTCGCCCGGCGTCGACTCCTGCCATGGTTAGATTTAAATGGAATCCAGGTCTTATACACTGGGGCAGAGAGGTGATATGTAGGCCAGCGGTGTCCGGGTAACAGGGACTTGTGTGAATGGGCTGAGTTGTTTGAAGTGAGCCTTGAGTAACACTGATAGGAGTTACACCCAATATTAACCAACTCACTTGTTAAATTCCAGTTAAATTCCTGTTAAATTCCTGTTCCCACCAGCCCAGTATAACCACCTTAGTCACGTGAGACACCACATGAAGTCACTAACCATGTGGTAAGCGCCAACCATCAGCAGAGCGAGGGGAGGGAGGGAGAGTGAGGCTGGGAGCCACATGACTGGGCTCGGGAGTAGGCACTGTGGATGCTAGAAGCTGTCACATTGATTACTACACTACACCCACAAATACCACTTTACACGTGGTCACAGTTCAGTGACACTGATGTGAAGTCACTAAGTATAACACTCAGTTTCACAATGAGCGAAATACTGTATAATTTAGTTTGGTTATCATTAGTGTGTGGTGTGTGGCACACAGGTGGTGAACGGTGGTTGGGAGGCGCAACTCTTATGATGCGAGGTAAGTTGACCTCTATAGTCCCATACATAAGAGGGAGGAAGGTAAGCAGGCGGCAGCAGGCAGAACGCTGGCCTCAACCTTAATGACAGGGACTGGGTGCCAACTTCACTGTATCACGTCACACTGTATTTTCCTCTATACAGTTTGGTTATGGTACATAATTATACAGTCCACGTTTATAGGGTCGAGGTACCGAGATAACTAAGGCACACAAGGTAACTTCTCACACCTGTACCAAGCTTAACACAGCGCTGAAGCCAAGTCAGGTCAGAGGTGCCCATAAATGAACTGTCCTGAGGGGGTGAGGCTCATCGCCCTGCATTTGTCCCAGCCTCCTCACATCCTGAGGGGTTGATGCCATCTTCAGAACCTCTGTACAAATATTCTTAAACTGCATCTTATCGTGTGTTATCTTACTCACAGTTCCCTCCTCCTGGCTCTCAGGGACTCCAAAAACTATTACATTGTTTCTGCACTGGAAACATTTCCGTTGTTCCTCCTCTCCCCTAACAGTAGGTCCATTAATTTTCATTTCTTCGACACACTTCTTCAGAGTCCCTAGCTGCTGTAGAACCTGTTCTGATCCTGCAATACTCTCCACCACCTCCCGTGGCTCTGCTAATGCGTCAGCATAACTCCTCTTAGCAACCACCACCATTCTGTCGGCTACTTCCTCAGTCTTAGCAAGGATCTCTTTCCCAACTTGTTCTAGTTTGGCAACCAGCAAGGCTCCAGCTTCATCTATTTTCGTCCCTAGGGAACTCGTTCCCCTATGGCTTGCAATCGCCTCTTTCACCTTGACTATGCAGCCAGGGCAATACCAGCAACAGCCCTCGTGCTTTACGGCAGCTTGCATCGCCCTAAACGTTGCAAGGATCAGGCCTGTATCATCCATATCCGTCATCCCCCGCATGGTTGTTGTTGTGGGGGGGAGGGGGAGTACAGACTATATATAGATTTACACCTATTTAAAAAGAAAGAAAAATAAAAACAGTACTTAGCTGCCCTCTGTTGGTTTTAGCCTTCCCTGTTGCCTTTAGGGTTGTCTTCTGTTTTTCTCTTCTTTTTTTAGTTCACTTCGGCATTTGTCGGTATCTATGTGCTATCTCCATGAACACAGCATTTTGCTATGAATATCGGATTTTATACACTCACTCAGTCCTTTAGAAACACAAAAAAATAAAATAAAACTTTCTTTGGGGCGGTAATAGAATGCCTCTTAGGATAGCCAAGTTTGTTGATTTATTTTTATTTTTTATTTATTTTAGCTATTATTTCCTTTTACTTTCTTTTCCCGTTCTCATCAACGACTATATCTCTTTGTGCTATCACTGTGTACACTGTATCTCTAATAGTATGTATGAGCACGTGGTCAGTCACGTTCTGGTGGCAGCTGAGAGCAGAAGGAAGGTTGTGACTCTCAACACACTCAGTATATTCAGTGTATTATTGGCAGCAAGGATGAAAAGTTGATTGAACTGGTTCGTGGACATTAAGTACAGTGATAACCTATTTAAGGAGAACACATGGAAAACAATAGGAGATGAACTGAACAAACAAATTTATTTCAGGTAATTACAGCTTTAACTCATGGTTTTTATTCCTTGTGCTTACTAGACATATCTCACAGTTGTGAGGTGGCTCATAACGGGAACAAAGTAGTTTAGTCACCGCCAATATACAGATCCTGAAGGGCTATTAGAGAAGTTTTTAATTTTTTCTCTCACATTGAATGCACTCTGGTGGGCATTTCAGCCTTGTCGAGCTATGGCAATGAAATTGTTTGCCATGTTGTCTATGACATTCTGTTCCTTTATGTATTTATGCAAAATGAAAGTTGCAAAAACAATATTGTCTGCATTGTCAGGCAGTAGCTTCGGGGTCCTGTGATTTATTTGAAGTGTTTCACTCAACAAACCGTAGGTGTTCTTTGGAACTCACCTTGCACGTGACAGTTTATAATTGAAAACACAGCCAATCTCTCCTTCGGTGATATTGCTTCCTGACATTTAGTGCTACTTATATTGAATTTATATTTTGACATTCTGAAGTACTGGTAAAATTTTACTTCATTATCTTGCAGTTCCTTGTACAGACTCCAATATTCCCCTTCTATTTTCTATTTCTCAAGCTTTGATGAACCCACACTCTTCTTTTTGTCACGCAAAATATTTCCCCCGTCTTCTTCATCCACATTTACCGTCACGTCTCCGTCCAAAGTGTCATGGACTCAACTCTGGACACTGGAGCTGGAGAATAGGCTTTTGGTAATTTAGCGTCATCAGCAAAAGAATCTGTGCTATTAGAAGGGTTGGAGAGCGAGGTCACTGATATGGAGTAAGAAGATGATAGGATGTAGAATTAAACCTTGAGGCACTGCTACACTGATAGAAAATTAGTCCCACAACTTCACAGATCTGATACTGGGAGAGAGAGTAGGAGATCCAGGAAATTATAGACCTTGTGATACTAAAAGATGAAGTAACAAGGGTATCAAGGAATATCAATTCAGTGAACATATATTATCGGGAACATTTAATACTAGTTTTGTAGTTAACATTTGTTGTTAATAGTGTGTTTAACATGAAGTACTAGTGTTTTAAATAACACAGAGTATTTATAATGCAGTTATTCTCTGTTTTGGCCACTTAAGCTATGTTAACTATCAAAGATTTAAAGGATAGATAACGTATGATTGTCAAGGTAATTTTATGTAGTAGTAATGCCGTGAACATGTGTAGTAGTATTAACACTATTTCTTTGTGTTGCAGGGCGAGGTGAAGGTGTGGTCGCCGTCAGCGTTGTTCGGCTCAGTGTCACTCCTGTCTACTGGTCTCGCCTTCTTCCTTCCCGAAACTGTAGATATAGAGTTACCTGAGAGTGTTGACTATTTTGCCAAGAAACCTAAAACACCATCTGACAACAGCACAGAAGGCAATACATTGCCATCGGAGTCATAAGTTATGAGGTGAAAGAAGATTATTAGGGATTGAAGAAAAGTGGAATACTGGAATACAGTAGAAGTAGAAAGAATCTGGGCTCAACCAGATCGCTTCATCTTACAGTATATATCTGTGTTCAGGAATTCATTTATTCTGGGAGAAGTATAGAAAAACAGGTGTTAATTAAGGGAGTTGTAGCATTGCAAAAGCCAATAGGAAAATTAACTTTTTATGCATGTTTGAAGTTAGAATTCAGAATGTAGCGAAAAGTGAAAACTAAAAAAAAAATAATTCGCACAATTGGCATTACGGAATGTTTAGTCAATTAATCAGGGTGCGAGGGTATGAGACCTTAATCCTTCCGTTTTCTTGATATTATGATCTCCCTGCAGGGTTCTCGGTGGCCTATTTGCGGTGTATAAGGAAGTGTTTAATCTCCAACCCGTGTAAAAGTGCTCACCATACATTGTAATTCAGCAACTGTTCTCTTTTTAAAATATCCCCGCCTACACCTGACCTCACCCAGACGACCGCCACCACCCAGACCACCGCCACCACCCAGACCACCAACAAACCTCCCCCCCCCCGCCAACCACAGACAACCCAAAACAAAATGGCAATGCATCCGACCACACGCCAAACAAAAAGGAAGAATACCTCGCCTCTCTCACTCCCTAACCAGAAAAACAAACGAATAGTCGTGAGAGACTTATACCCTCACTGGCGGAAGAACCCGGAGAGCGACCCCGACGAGACCAATAGCCCCACCCCCACCCCGAACACCCTTCACCTCCCTCACCCCCTAGTATAAAGGGGGCTTTTTCTACTGTCACCATTTGTAAAGGGGCAGATTTCTTGTTAGTCTTTTCTTATTAATCTATCCCCCTGCTGTTAACTTTTAACTCTTCAACCTTTTTTCTCTTAATTTCTTACTTCATTCATTTTCTACATTAGTTATTTCATTTCATATAGTTAATTCATAACCTCTGACCTTTGGTAGCATGGCGAGGGTTTGGGCACATGGGTTCTGTAATTCTGGTATCGAGATATGGACAAGAATAAAGGTAGATACTGAGGGAAAATGATATCCCTAACGTGCTCTAAAATTGGTTTATAAAAAATGAAATTAAATTTGGTTAAAGATGTCATAAACATACAACTAAAAGGATCAACTCCTTGGCTTTACTCATCTCCAATTCCAAGTAGATACTCTCACTTCTTACATAGTTACTGGTTGTACCTTTAAAAGAACACTCCACATGACATGCTTACATATGGCACCTTTACTAGAACTCATTTGGTAGTACATATGAATGGTGTACTCACAACCCTCATAACACGCGTTATTACTGGTAATATCAATATTTATGGGTTCAATACTCAACATGGGACAACTATACTTCTACTAGTTATCCCCAATCATATACAACAATAATGGTTAGGACTCAGTTGGTAGTACATATGAATGATGTACTTACAACCCACACACAAGCATTATTACATAAGAACATAAGAAAATAAGGAGTCTGCAATAGGCCGGTTGGCCTGTGCATGGCAGCTCCTATCGAGAGTTACTACCACTCTCTATCATCCATGAATCTATCTAGCCTCATTTTGAAACTTTCCAGAGTTCCCGCACTTACGACAAAGTTGCTAAGCTTGTTCCACTCGTCCACCACCCTATTTGTGAACCAGTTTCTTCCTATCTCCCTTCTAAACCTAAACTTATCCAACCTGAATCCGTTGCTCCGAGTCCTATCCTGCTCGGATATTATAAGAACTTTATCTATATCCCCTTTATTGATTCCTTTCACCCACTTAAATACTTCTATCATATCTCCCCACACTCTTCGTCTTTCTAGGGAATGCAAGTTAAGTTTCTTTAACCTATCCTGATACGGAAGGTTTCTAAGTCCCGGAATCATTTTTGTCATTCTTCGCTGCACCGACTCTAGTGAATTTATATCCATTCTATAATAGGGGCACCAGAACTGAACAGCATAATCGACGTGTGGCCTGACTAGCGCAAGATATAGTTGCAATAAGACCTCTGCACTCTTGTTACTTACACTTCTAGATATAAAACCCAATACTCTGTTTGCCTTATTTCGAACATTAACGCACTGTTTTCTAGGCCTTAGGTCCGGGCTTACAAGTACCCCTAGGTCTCTTTCACAAGTCGACTTCTCTAGGTTGATGTTGTTAAGGCTGTATACATTATAAGTATTTGTTCTTCCAATATTAAGTACGCTGCACTTGCTGGTGTTGAATTTCATTTGCCATTTTTCAGACCACCCCTGCAATTTATTTAGATCCTCCTGTAATGCATTTGCATCCTGCCCTGAACTAATTTGCCGCCGTATTTTGGTGTCATACGCAAACTTGCTTATGTCACTGCTGATCCCAGTATCTAGACTGTTTATGTAGATTATGAACAAGAGTGGGCCTAGTACTGACCCCTGGGTTCAATACTCAACATGGGATTGTAAAGGGCCGAGTTTACTCTTTTCAATAATTTACCATCCAGCTATTCTTATATGTTCTTTATCTCTATATACCTTATATTCTTATATAAGTAACTCGTATGCTTCTCTGCTTATGTTTTCCAAGTCAATGTTCTTTCTTTTCATTTCCTTTCATATAGATTGTATTCTCAGTTTCAATGTTCTTACCTTTCTGAAGTTTACTTTGTTTTATGTCTATTCTTATACATGGGTTAGTCTGGGGAACCATGTTATTCTTTGTACAACACTTTTTATACTTACAAAGGGTAGCTGCCACCACCCAGACTTTTCATTATATAACCTAACTCATGGAAAGTTGTTGGGTAGTGTGGTAGATGTCTAGGCACGTGAGTAAGTATTATTTTCTGGGAACCAATGTTTAGAAGGAGTAGAGTGGTGATACTCAGATTACTAATTCAATATTTATTAACACAGTGAGTGGAGAAGATGCATCTTAAATTCACTCAGGCTAAACAGAACCGCAATTAACTTATTAAATCATCAAACACTTCAAGAGCTTATTACCTCATTCAACACCTCCACATACTCATTACTTTATTAGACAATTGGGATATCATTACCTTGATACATGAGATTCCGTAACTATTATTCACAAGCCATCACTGGACCCTCAGGTCTTACTTTAACAAGTAACACATTACCTCTTCACTTCTTGATTAGAGCATGATACTCTCAGGTTATTCGTTCATGATTACTACAGATGAATACATAACACATTGGACTAACTCCACAATTATAGTAACATACAATACCTCCTGTTAGTTTGCAAGGAACAACCTGGTACCTTGAACTCTCATTCAGTGGTTCAATACTTAACCTGGGATGACTATATTTCTGCTAGTCATCCCTAAGCATGGATATTAATACGGCTCCATACATATAACCAAGAACAGTGGGTAGACCATGATCATACGACGGAGTCAGTGGGCCAGAGTTGTTTACAGGCTTGCTCGCTAGCTCGGAGCGCCTGGCCCAGGAAAAGTTGACTGTGGCGGTGGGCCGTGGCGTCTGCCAAGGAATCTCGCCCTGGGATTCTAATCTCGCCACCTTAAAGACGTCTTTCGAGAGACATCGTGCCCATAGGCGGCTCCCAAACCTCAGGAGTGTTGCTAACCCCCACAACAGCGTCTGGAGACGTGGAGAAGAAATCACAGGAGTGAATATTTAACTTCACTATACAAAACATACGTCTGGCACCGGTTCAGACGATAGCTAGAGCTCTACTTTACTTGACCCACTTGGCACTGAAGGTACTATGTTAAAACATGAACACTGATATTCACAAAAAATGACTAAGTTAAACTGAGTTAATATGGCGGCGTGGAACACAAGTGAACATACCTGGAGACGTGGAGAAGAAATCACAGAAGGAGTGATTTCCCCTCGCGCGCCTGCATATATACGGGCCTGAGGGCATATTCCTACTACAAAGATAAATTTCACTAACAATAGACCCTCTATTCACAGTAGTCGTTGGACACCTAGCTGTGACCGTCAGCGTCACAGATCAGGCTAATTTTCTACATCTATATTTATGATTTAATCAGAGGTTGAGTTTGTCAGTAAAGAGGTGAATTGAAGTTATATATGCGTTCGCAACTCTATTGGCCTGACCGCAAACCACATCCCCGGTCAAACGGCCGTTAAATCTGGGAGAATTTTGAGTTTGACAGGAACTGTTCAGAAGATGAATGACTTTCTTAAATAGACAACTGACACTAACTAAACTATGAACATCAGAATCTCTGATGTCGGGGCAACAAAACAATATAACTTCAGTAGCGATCAGAAACCCATGGATATCCCCATGGACGACCTAAAATACGCCACTCTAACTGGCAAACTCAACACTCGCCTACTTGACACGTCTTACTAACAATA